GTCTGTTTTGGTCTAAAAGATGAGATTCCCGGTGTACTTGTAAGGAGCGACTTTGTCGGTGTTCAAATTTCGCAGTTAAGTGCCAAATTATAAATTCAAATACGTAACTAATACATATTCACGAAAAACCTCACGAAGAAATAGCATCGTGTGACTATTAAAATACACAGGATTGGTGAAGTGATTTTTTTTTAAATTAATATTAATGTTAATGGTGTAAGAATTTCAAGAAATGGCAAGAAGTCTTTTACGTATGTGCAGATTTCATTCAACAAAAACATATCAACGCTCGAAAGGCAAACGTGACTAAACGACAATGCGTGAACTTTACAGTAGACTAACTTAAAGTTGAAATACTTGAAAACAAAATTTATTTTAACGTGCCTAGCTATAGTAGAATCTAGCTAGTAGCTGTAGGATTGAAATGATTTTAATAGACCTAGAAATATATTTTTTTTGCGCATCGAATATGGTTATTGCCTATCATTTATTTATAAAGCAGTTATTGTCGCTTAGTCATGTTTGCCTTTCAAGCGTCGATATGCTTTGGGTTATATCAAATAATATATCAGTAAAATTTGATTAGTCAATCACATAGCACAAGCATTTTTTTTTTTTTTTGGTCAGGAGGAAATCGCCGGACTTCCGCCCTTTTCTGGGGATACTGGGCGGGGTATGTCAGAGTCGAACTGACTAAAACCTCCTGTCGCTCAACAACCAACGTCCAAACCTCGCATGAGACAGAACTCATGACAAGGCAAAGGGGGGAAAGTGAAGCGTTTAGTGCGGAGCACATCTCTCCCATCACCCTCCCCCTCGGGACGCCGGACTGGCGGTCGTCGGCGCCACGACCACCAGCCCTCTCGGTCGGCAGACTGTCCGAAGCCCGCCTAGATGGCGCCGGTTAGAGTGGGTTACCCTACGGAATACCCCGCTGGGCCAAAACCAGCGTGGGTCGAGGATAGCCGGCCTTCCATCACCCGGATGCTCTTGCGTAAAACGCGTGCAGAGCAGCTTGCACGTCGTCTTCTTAGGGCCCCCTCGCCGGTCCCCAGACCGACATGTGAGGGGGACCCGAAACACTTAGA